TTAAACAGCTGTCATGTGAAAGAGAAAAAGGCACCGACTTCTATAGCACAGTGTTGACTCTGTTCTTCCTTCTGAGAGAGAGCAGAAGAATAGCAGGAACAGAGTACAGAGTGGTAGGTGTAGGTCTATGGAAGGAAAAACTTCAGTGGTCTGTCTGGGAAGAAGGTGGGCTCGCCTTCCCTTGCGCTGTTAAGCAAGTCTACATGATTACTTGTCGTTGTGGTGGGTATGGGGGTCCCTCCCAACTAGGAACTTCTGTAATTTCCAGGGCCAGAAAAAGGGTGGCTATGTTCCTTCTTTCCCACTGCCACTTCCAGATCTGTCTTCTCCCCACATCCCTAAATGACCCTCTTCTGCAGTAAACACAATCCACTTAGACCACACTTTCTCCTCATCCTTACTGCCCCCATCTATTAACCTCTGGGTCATTCTTCTAACTTCTCTAATTTCAGAGCCTGGCTCATGGTTTTCTTTTCTACCTCATCACCCGCCATCACCCTCTGACACAGGAATATCCTTGCCCACACCTTCTCACCAAGATCAGTTATAATGACAATTAAGAACTAAGACCCTACCTAAGAACATGACCGCGTGATTACTCAACACCAACGGCAACTTGGCGACACTTCTTCCACACAATGATGTTCCCTAGGTCTCATCATCCCCTTTCTTTGTAAGTTCACCGTCTAATGGGGGGAACAACACTCAGACAGCCATTTACAAACTAGACAAGGCAGGGCAGCTAGGTGACCAAAGCAGATAGAGCACTGGGCTTGGAATCAGGGAGACTTGTCTTCCCGAGTTCAAATCTGGCCTCATACCCTTCCTAGCTGTGTGACCCTGGGCAAGTCACTTCACCCTGTTTGCCTCAAGTTTCCTTATCTATGAAATGAGCTGGAGGAGGAACTGACAAACTACTCCAATACCTTTACCAAGAAAACCCCAAATTGGGTCATCAAGAATGGGACACGACTGAACAACAACAAAGAGGCTCCTGGTACAATCCATCCAGGCTATTTCAGGATCCCCCCCCCTCCCCACACATACACTTCAGTCAGGGTAACCTTCCTCATGCAAACAAGTGCTGCTTCAAACATCATCGGCAAGCTCTTGGTTCCACACAGAAGCACCTAGTTTACCTGAACAGCACTGAAGCAACAGTTATGCTTAAACAGGGGCAAATGCCTTCCCAGTGACATTTACACTGGTGTCACTAAAAGCTGAAGTTGTTAATGGGGGGGGCGGGAGAGAGAGAGAGAGAAAGAGAGAGAGAGAGAGAGAGAGAGAGAGAGAGAGAGAGAGAGAGAGAGAGAGAGAGAGAGATTGCTTTTTTTTTTCTCCTCCCAGTAAACCATTTTATGCAGGGGGACAGAGGGGTGATGAGAATGGCAATTATATTAAGGTGTAACACATTCATTTTTAATTGAATAGACAAAAAATGACCATCACTAGACTGGCATGGATTGATGGATTTTCCTGTGCCATTACAACTTTTAAAAGCCATCTACTTAGTTACAGAGGTTGCAATATGCATTAGTAGAGTGAGAACCTCTGTTAGAAGAAATTTTAAAAATATTATTCAGTTAGATGAATACAGAGATGCATAGGAAGATGCAAATAAATGGATGAAAAGTGAAATGGGTAGAACCAAGAAATGCAATATACACAATGACAAAAACAATGTAAAATAAAATGACAACAAAACAATTGAAATTGGATGTGATAAAATTATAGTGACTTATCAGTCCCAAATAAGAGAGAGGAAAAGGCCCCAACCACCACTTCTTCATAGAAATGTAAGATTTTGGAAACAGAATGCTGCATACAGTCATAATTTTTTTAATGTGTTGTTTAGTTTTGCTGAACTTCTTTTTCATCCCTTTTTGTTCTTTGGTATAAGAAATGGCTCTGTGGGAGAAAGAGAGGAAAGGGATATTTTGTGAAATGTAGGTGATATAAAAATAAAAGACAACAACACCATTTACTTTTAAAAATAGTCTGTCATATTTCTTACCTATAAAGATATTTGCTTTTCTAAGAACGAATGGAAAAGTAAATGGAGAAAAAAATAAACAAATCAGTTAAAAGTTACTTATTGAGTGCTAATGATTATTATGAATACCTCATTTAATCCTTACCACCACCCTGGGGAACAAGCAGTGACATTATTATCACAATTTACATCAGAAGAAACTGATTGCAAGAAGAAACCTTCTCCAAAGCTGTGCCCCTTTGAAGTGGTGGAGCTGAACTTACCTCAGGAATTCTGACTCAAATCTAGAGATACAAGTCAATTCCAACCCACAAGCATTTATCAAATGCCTACACCGTGTTAAGTCCTGGAGATGCAAAGGAAGGCCAAACAAATAAAACTCCACAACGGCCACACAAACAGTCCCTGCTCTCTAAGATCTCACAGTCTAATGGACCCCAACCAGAAGGACACATTCCCTACCATCAAAAAGCTTTCATTTTGCTTACTAAGGAACAAGAGCAGAGATCATTATAAGCCAGAAGAATCGGGGGGAACAGAGTAGAAAAGGCAGCATCTTAGTTGACCCTGAAAGAATGAAGAGTAAGAAAATGGGGTTCACCTCCAAGTCTAGTGTGATGGCATTATTTTTTCAAAAAGTCTCTGAAGAGTCTAACACCAGCATGTCACATGTACAACCAAAGCATGAAGAAACAACTACTTAAAATGACATCAGTTCGATTAATTAGCTGCATAATTAGTTTCCCCTCCATGGAGTTCGGCTTTGTTGCTGCTGTCTAAATCTTCCCCAGGTGAAGTTCCTCCTCTCCACCACCCCCCCCCCCCCCCCCCCCCCCCCCCCCGCCATTTTCTTAGGAGAAAAAGAAAAAAAAATGAATGGAACAAAGAAGAAAGGGTGTCATTGAAGGTGGTCAGGATTTTTTTTTTTTAGTAAAGGCAATCTTAGAGCACTTTATAGGATAAAGCTAAAGAAAAGAGGAGTTGTATTTAGACACATGACCCAAATACTACAAAACCTCACAGCAGCCTCAATTTAAAGGGGAAGTACCTTGCACATAGTGTGTGCTTACGATTTGAATGGAATTGGCTTTTCTATTCCTCCCTCCTCTCCCATCCCTGTTCCATCTTTTTTTTCCTTTTTCTTTTTTTTAATGCTACTTTTAAAAAAACCTTTGACATTGCCTAGACTATGACTTAGTGACTATTTGGACATGGCTTTGACCAGAAACTCCCCAATTATTAAGATTATTATGATTTTATAGGGGAAATAACATTGAAGGAAGGGAAGAGTGGGTTCCAAACTCGGGCTTGGTGAAACTGGATGGAAGACAGAATTGCTTTCTCTGGAACAATCATTTAGTCTTCCTACGCTAATAATTTTGGATCACATTAATGGGAACATAGTAAGGGCAGGGAAATATAAAAATGGCCAAAGCATATTCAGAAAAACAGAAAAAGAACAAACACTTGTGAATCCTCATCCCTAGCCAACTCATTACACACAATGCTTCTTAAACCACAGCTGGCTGCAAAGTAACACGTTCTGACTAATGTCTAGGATGGTGAGGAAACCACAGATCTGGGACCAAATCCACTTGGCTTGACTAAAAAGCCTAGCCTAGTGTCCCACAAATTCTCCTCTCCCTTTCCTTGTTCAGAAGAGGAAAAGGGGGTGGGGGGGGAGTATTCCAAAATAATAGTCTGTCTGGGGGAAATAACAGGTCTATGTACAACACATTAATATGAAGGGGGGGGGGAGAATCTATTCCGTGGGTAGAACCAGATTTTGGGGTAAAATATTCACTACTCTCAAACATAGCACACTTTAGACACAACTAAGGAACACAGTTAACTCAGAATATCTTTCTGGGACTACCAGAGTCCTGTTTATAAAGAAGCTGGAACTTAGTATCAAGTGCACTGTACTAGACTTGCATCTGCTGCTTTAAGGCAGTCTAAACTGGGTTCAAACCCCACAGTATTGTCCACCTTTTCAATAATACTTTTGTACCAGTGCTAAAAATTTAGGGAGAACATTAATTTCCAATGTTCCCAATGATGAACTCAAACTTCCAATCCATTTTGGAGGACTAGACCACAAGAAGGCATGAATACATCTAGAACAAGGTCACATCCTTCATCACAAAGACAGCAACATTAATTTATTTATATAAAGCTATAATTGAGTAACAAGCTGTGTGTGCAAAGCCAGATAGAATGGCCTTGTGATCCTAACAAGCTATCTGGACAAGATGGATAAGAAATAAAGACCCAATATTTTTTGCATGGTGTCAAAAGTTGTAAGTGACACTAAAAAAAAATAAGGGAGGAAGGAGGAATAGAGAAGTCAATTCAATTTCAACATTTAGCACCTACTATGAGCAAAGTACCATAAAGGAAATGAATCCTTCATTTGAACACTACTTTTAAATTTAACCTAAATTTTAGGTGATTTTAAAAAATTAATCTAAATCAAATAAATTCAATTTAACATTTATCAAGGCCTACCATGTGCTAAATGTGCTACAGAGACAAAAATTAAAATCTCTCTGTCCTAAAGGACAAGAGAACAGCAGGGGGAACGGGGAAGGTTTGTTGACAGATACAGTAAGTACATAGATGAGCAAAGAGAAGGAATTGTGGGAGGGAGACAGAGACAGAGAGAAAACCATCCACAAGAAGAACTCCAGAAGGCTTTACAGACGAGGGAATCCCTTAGTTGTGGCTTGAAGAAAGATGAAGTGGGTAAGGAATGTATTTCAGGCATTCTGGATGGCTTATACAAACGCTCAAAAGGTGGAAGATGGAGTGCCAAGGGAAGAGAATAACTGAGTAGTTCAGCTTGGCTGTAATGAAATCACCAAAGAAGAGAGAAGAGAGAAAAAGAGATGCGGGCTAAGGATGGAGTCTTAAGGGATGATGACCCAGCCAAGGAATATTGGAACTAACAGGTCAGTGGAAGAACCAGGAGAGAAGGGTATCATGGCAACCAAGGAATGAGATCGTATCCAGAAGGAAGAAGTGGTCAACAGTATCAAATGCAGCAGAGAATTTGAGAAAAGGATTTGGTACTGGAGAGATCACTGGTATGCTCTAGAGGAAGTGGTTTCAAATAGTGTGAGTCCAAAGCCACATTTCAATGGGTGGAATGAGCACGTACAACTCGAAGACCTTGACAGTAAAAGAAAAGGGGAGTCAAGTGAAGACTTTGGTTTTGCTATTATTATTTCTTTTAATTGGGGTAAGAACTGAGAATGTTTATGGGCAGCAAAGAACAAGTCAATTCACAGGAAGAGACATAAAGAACAAGGGGGGCCGGCTGATAAGGCAAGATCCCAGAGGAGCCAAAGGGAAGGGCATGTAATAAAGGGCACAACTAGAGGGACTGACCTTGGAGAGAAGAAGGGCTTCTTCATCCTCGGACTGGCACAAATGAGGAAAAAGAAGTAGATGGGTTTTGAGGTATAGAAAGGGCATGAAGAATCTGATGATTAATGACCCACCCTCAATCTTCTCGGTAATGCAGAAGGCAAGGTCAAAAGAGAAAAGGAAAACCAATTACCCCATAAGATGGAAAAACAAAGCAGCCACCCTTGGTCTGAGATTTGCCTGGTCAAATGCATCCTTCGAGCAGAGGAGATGCTGGTGAACCAGAAAGGGGGAGGACAGATGGAGAACTGCTAAAAGGTGGGAGAAGCTTATATTTCAGTCGTCATATTCATCATCAGTAGTGTTCCAAGTCACAAATAGAACAGGCAAGGTCAGTTAATCCCATTCCTTCTTCAAATACACCTTTCTAGAGTGCCAGAGTTAATAAATTATTCATGTAGGCCTCGGAAAAATCTTTTGAGTACAGTACAGCACTAACTCAGAACAAGGAAATCAGTAAACACAGTTGACTGGCTAAGTGAATAAACTCTATGCCCTTTCCTGTTCTCAGAGGAACAAGGATCCAAACAACACAAGGGCTCACCCTTGTGGAGTGAGTCTGTTCATCCAGCTCCATGGTTTGCTCAGCTCCTCAAGGTGGCTGTATCTAGCTCTGTGTGGGAGCAAATCAAAAGATGTTTAACCATTTTCCAACATGGGCCCATGATCCTTTTGTCTTACCTCTCTCTCTACTGCCTCTTTCCCTTCTGCCAACAAATATGTCCACATCTCTCCCATTCTTAAAACAAAAACAAAAAACCCTCACCTGGTTTGACTAACCCAGATAGCTATCATCCTACATCTCCATTCTCCTACAGTGCTCCACTCCTCGAGAAAGATATCTTCATTCAGTGTGTCCACTCTCACTCCTCTAAGGGTCTTCTAAAATCTTTTGTAGCTCGGCTTCTGAGCTCATCATTCAACTAAAGGGCTCTTTCCAAAATAATCAATGATCTCTTATTCACCAAATCTAGTGGTTGCAATTTACATATGGTCCAAACCAATGTTGATAAAACCAAGACAAAACAAAACAAAAATCAGACAATAAATTAGAGACTTTGGTTTTCCAAATAACAGCCTACAAAACAAACAACAGCTGATCATCTACAACTTTCTAAGTAATTTACTTCTGAAGTAAGAGATTTTAGAACTCAGAGATTTCCTAAATCATTCCTCATCATGGTTGGCCCCAATTCCCACATCCCTTCCTTTCCTTCTCTCCGGTTTTGTCTGTGTCATCTTTTGTCCCGTCGCTTCAGCAGTATGATGTGTAATAACTACCTCCTAAGTGACTTGAATTTTTGTCTTCACAAAGCTAATTTTTACAGAGCAAGGTACAAACAACCCAAATGTAGCCAAAGAAAATCTGAGCTTACATGAAACCTACTAGAGGCTGTAATGCTGATCCTGACAGCTATCTTACTGCCTGCGACAAAAGCATTTCAATAACGAGAGTAATGAAAAAAATATTGAAAACTGAATTTTAACAAATAGCTCTGGAGAGAATTTCAGATTTCATTATAGGAAAAGCATTTTATTTAATGTAGAAAATATGAAAAGTTGATATGACAGTTTTCTATAAATAACAAAAATTGGAAACCATCATTAGAAGCATCTGTAGTTTTCTACTCTTGATGGGAAATGCTGGGAGAAAAAATGAGAATTAAGCAACAGGGAAACAATTTATCTTGCTTTGCATTTCCTGGCCTGGTTTCAAAACCCTTTAGCAGGTCAGGAAAAGAGGATTCCTTTAGTGCTCATGACCCAGAAGTCTTTCATGAAACATTTGCACTGGTGTTACTAAAAGCTGAAGCTGTTAATCAGGCCTTAACAGCCAGAATCCATGGTTTATAAAATTCCCACCATTTGTATGACCAATCTTACTGCAATGCATATAACTTTAAAAAAAAAAAACCTACCAAGATGCAAGATGCATTTTTTTAAAAGGACCAGAGATCTAAATTTACCAGATATTAAAGTATAAATTTATACAGTCAGCACTAACAAAACGATGTTCATGGCAACATTGATTCTCCCACCCTGCACTTAAAAAGTATTTTCAGTCACGAGCTATATTTAAACTAGGATACCAAATTTGGTATGTGAAAGGAATACATTTATGTTCCCATAAAGAAGTTCGCTCCTTACTGTTTCAGGATTGTGTTAAAACTTGTAGTTATCTTAACAAAGCTTAATTATTCATTTAAAATTTCTCTTTCAAAAACAAAACCAGGGACACCTGTTGGTGTTTAATGTATTCAAATTTGGCCTTTGAAGTTAAGCCTTCATCACCAAAATGAAAAGAGGGGAAATGAGGTCCCCTCTTTCTGTCATTATCTAGCTCCAAAACAGTTTTCTGCTAGACTGGGTTTACCTAGGACTTCATCATACTTTGTTATGGCTGTTTGGAATGCAGATGCAACCTCAGAACTACATTTTCCAGAAACTGACAGTGCAGGCACCAAAACAACAAATGCCATTGAGGGGAAAAAGGCTCTAAAATTACAGTGTTTTTCTCTCTATCTCAGATTAAAGTGGGGTACTTTAAGAAGGAGGATTTTTAGCAGGCAATAAACTCATTTCAAAGTGATGCTTATTAGATTCTTTCAAGAGGGAGGAGATAGTTCTAAATTTCTCCTCAAGCACAGGCCTTCCATGTAACAAATTTTTTCAACGACAAATGACGATTTTTCAAAGAGTAACTTAAAAGCATAACAACATAAGCACTTTCCCACAAGGGAAAAGTTTTAATGCTTTAAAACATTTATTTTCTGTAGATAACAAATATCAATACAGTTGCAGCTCCTTTAATCCAAATGGAGAAGTGTCCACTTAAATAACACAGCTGCTGAAGTTTTCAGTCACTGAAGAAACAAACCCCAGAACTCCTGTTGGGCTTAATGTCAGCCTTTAATCCTCCAAACCAGTTTGCATTCAGGCAAAATATGGGGGAATAGATTTCATTTTATTTTATTTTATTTTTACAAAAACTGAATGGTTAATTACAAGTTCTTGGGAAAAGTTTATCCTCAACTAAATTACAAACTTCTTAGGGCAGTGAAGAGCCATTAAAAAATAATTCCCATTAATTAAGATGCTTGGTATCTAGTAAGTGTTCAATAAATAGTTGATGATTTATAAAAACTAAATATTCACAACTAAAAGGAAATGTTAACTACCTATGAAGCAACTGGTATGACTACTGAACTGTAACACGTTTCTGTTACTTTGATCACCGCAACATAAACCACTTTGCAGAAGCTCAGAGTTGAAATGGACCTCTGGAGACATCTAATGCAATTTATGCTTTAACATATGACATACCATTCAGCCTTTGTCTTCATTCGATCTTGAGGCAGATAATTCAACTTTGGAGAATTCTTGAGAAGTTTCCTTCTTTTTTCTTCTGCTTATTTTCTTCTTATTGCATCTTTGCAAATTCTGCCTAATAGGGCCAGGCAAAACAAATCTAAGATCTCTTCCATATGACAATCCTTAAAATACTTGAAAATGATTATGATGTCCCAAGACTTCTTATCTCCAGGTAAAGCATAACCAGTTCCTTCAACCCATCTTAGATTATATATGGCAGGACTGTGAGGTCTTTCACCACTTTGATGACACCAGTCTTGATGCTCTTCAGTTTATCAACATTTAGATGGATCTATGATCTTTGATGTAGGAACAATGGTGAAGATTGTAATCCAATCACTTCATCTAGTCATTTACAGCTCTTGCTCATGTCCTCCAGTAAATCTTCTGCAGGGCAAGATGCTGGGAGCCGTCCCTGAGGACATGGAAGGAGGAATTCATTGATGTAGGTTCTGAAAGTCTGTCTACATTTTCCTTATATATTCTTCAAGGATGCCTTCAATACACATGTTGATTACGTACATAAAAATGTTGTAAAAACAGGAAAGCAGGTATTTGAATTGGTAGCTGTGGATAACATCTGTTAATGTTGAGAATCAATCCTTCCATGTCCTCAAAATTCTATTGTCTTTAGCATATACTTATGTGTGTATTTGGTTTAGTCTAAGTACTCTTCCTATCACTATCTTCCTTAGTATCATATCTACTTCTTCATGCAATACATCAAAAATGGTATCATTAAAGCTTTGTCCAAATGTAATAGTTTTGCAGTCACTGGTGGAGAAAATAAATTTGTCACAGCAATCCTTATAAATTTACTCCATTTTTTTGTCTTCTTCTCAGTTTCTTTATTGGCCTCTTAGTAAGTTTTCTGTAAAATCCTCTTTCCCACCATTGCATCTTGCTGTTTTATTAAACAATAAAGTTCAATCTTCCATCTTTCTACTTCTTAAGATTGCAAATGAGTTTATAATAGGTGTTGCCTATGGCTGCCATTTCTCTTAGCTTAGCAAAATCAAGTAGTTACTAGATGAGGTAGATTATTAGGTTATTTTGGTTGTAGCAACTAATTTATACCAAATACACTTTTTCAGGAAATGGTAATGTCTGTGTCAATGTCTATTCCTTTATTCATTTTGCAGCTCTAACAGCTTTGCTTAAATAGGTCAAGTTAAAGGTGTCTTCACTGCATGCTAAATCTTCTCATTGTTAGTTTTCTAGTTTGATGATGAAGGTGAACAAGTCAGCATTCTAACCACATACAGTGTTGAGTCCTCCATTGGTAACCAGTAAGTCCCTGTATTCTCTAGCTCCTGAAGCACGTTTTCCTATATATTTTCATCTTTGCTCACCTTTGCATTAAAGTTATATAAATATCAAGTGCATGTTTAATTCAGAGAATCTTGGTGAACTCTTCATAAGAGTTCTCCATTTCCCCATCCTCTGCAATAGATGTTGGCACATGAACTGGATTTTTTCTCCATGGTGCTCAATAATTACTGTCATGTATATTGCAATTTGAGATAACTAAATTTCCAGTGAAATGATAATTCTTATTCCCCCCCCCCAAGATGGATAAAACTGACACTTTTGTTTTTTACTCTCCAAGGAGAGGTATGTTCTATACTTCTATCTAACCACAACTTCCCTTTGTCTTCTCATTTTATTTTTAATGAGCACATCAAAATTAGTGGGACTCATTTCTTCCAGTGGCAATATCCATTTGGTCACAGAACAAGGACATTACATTTAGAATTTAAAAAGCTGCTTATTTACAAATAGTCTGTAAATCAAGGATCTTTGTGCCCTCTGTCCCTTTTTCATCCCAGCAGAAGTGGAAGGAGGCTATGTAGCTCTGAGGGCCATTTTATATTTCCCCCCTAGTCTATCAAAGTCTTTCTTAAATTGTGGCATCTGCAATGTTACCTCAAAGCCAAGATGGCACCTGACCAGAGCAGAATATACTAAGACTCTCACCTTTCTGGTGCCAGTAACTATTGCTTGCCTTAATGTAGTTTGAGAATGCCTTACTTTTATTAGTTGCCATTTCATGCTGATGGTTAATATTAGTCCCCTTGTAGATGTCTAGACTTAAAAAAAAGAAAGCTGCTCCATCCATCCTCCTCCATTTTGTATTTGTGAAGCTGATTTTCTTAAATTCAAGTGTAGACTTCATATGCATTCCTATTAAATCTCATCCTTATTAGATTCAGACTAATCTTCTAGCTTGTCAAGATCTTTTTGGGTCCCGACTCCTCTTTGTCATCCAACATTCAACCTCTCAAAGGTTTGTGTCATCTGTAAATGGAACATGCACACCATCTGTGCCTTTCTCCAAATCTGCATAAAAATGTCAAGCAGAGATCTCTGGGGCACTCCATACCAAAGGCTTTCTTCTAGGATGACATTATGCCACTAATGACTAATCTTTAGGTCCAGTTCTTAATCTACCTAATTGTCTAACTGGAAAGTCCTTACCTCTCCATCTCATCCACAGGAGGATCATGAGAAATTTTGTCCAATGCCTTTTGGAAATCTAAGAGAACTACATATATTTATATGATCCCCTTCCCCGTGCCTCCCCCCTCTACTAATCTAGTAATCCTGTCAAAAAAGGAAACAAGGTTCAAATGTTCTTGATGAAGTCATGCTGGTTCTTTAGGATCACAGCTGACTTTTCATTCCAGACTATCTGAAGAAAGAGTAGATGTGATGACTGAGTCACCATCAATGACCTTTGAAAGACCATGGAAAATAAGAGAAGTGCCACAGGATTGAAGGACAAATGTTCTGACTCAAGAAAAGGAAGTGGATGAAGTTTATAAACCATAGGCCAGTGATAGCATAACCTTAATTCCCAGCAAAATTCTAAAATGTATTACGAAAGGGTTGTTTTGTGAACAACTATTTGATAAGGAAAAATTTACAAGCAAAGATAGCCGGCTTCTTTCACGCTGAATGGTTAGAAAACACAGAGATACCAGATTGATTTCTGTAATATCCACAACATAAGAAAAATTGAAGAAAATGTTGAATTCCCCTCTTTGAGTAAGACGAAAGGCAGCCCAGTAGAGAGAGAACTGGTCTGAATCCTGAAGACTATTTCAAGTCCTGGCTCTGACACATATAACTGTGTGACCCTGGACAATTATCTTTTCAGTGTACCCCTCTCCTCCCCACCCCAAACATGCCTAGGCCACTCTCAAAGACTATAAATTGCAGAAAAGGCATTGATCCCACCCCCACCCCTTGCAATGTGAATTGAGTTTCCAACTGGGAACTCCTATACACAGATAAGATCCCAGTTCTGGTCCCCTCTCCACCTACCATTTCTCCCTGGGACCCAAAGACCCCAAATCACACAACGGATAGAGCACTGAGCCTAGAGTCAGGAAGACTTCAGTTTAAATCCAGACACTTTCTAGTTGTGCAACCTGGCAGGCCACTTAACCTCTGCCTGCCTCAGTTTCTTCAATTGTAAAATGAGGATCAGAGCACCTATCTCACAGGATTGTGGTGAGAATTAAATGACATAACATTTGCATAGTGCTCAGCTCAGTGCCTGGCACATAGTAGGTGCCTAATAAATGCTCATTCCTTCCACCCCGCACCACTGTGTTAGAAGTGGGAGTAAGGACACCATCCTGCTATGATCAATCTGATCAATGTATAATTAATCAGAAAAGGTGGAAAGCTTGTTAGAATGCAAGAATCAAGGTTAACAGACATTTCGAATGTTGCCCTGATTGATCCCCAATTAATACTAAGAACAGAACACTCTAAGAGAACAATTTTTTACACACTAGGTACATTCACCTGTGGAAGGCTTCGGGGAGGCCATGGCAACCACAATCACCCAGGCTGAAAAGCCTTCAGTGGATTACAGTTTATGCTGATGGAAGAGGGCATAGCCCCTGGAGGAGGTCACAGAATTATGGATATACCTTAAGGATATTCAAATAAAGGTGACAGACAAGAGAACGTCTCTGACAACAACTCTGACAGACTGTACTGAAGTTAAATCAATCCAGGGCACAATCCAGGGATCCAGGTGAAAGAGGTAGAGTGACTTATAAGGAAAACTGGGGTGTGCATGAAAATTCCCCTTGGGTTCTAACACACTTCAGCTGGCAATAAAGAGCAGCAATGTTTCAACTCCACACTGGCCAGATCCCAACTCAAAAGACTGTATTCCACCTCTCTAAACTCCCTTGTGAAGTTCCCAGATCCCATTCAAAAGACTGTATTCCACCTCTGTAAACTCCCTTGTGAAGTCTGTTCACTCCAGTGCACACCTTCAGTTCCTCCGGCTGGGGAGACTGAATAGATTCTGGAGCAGCAGCCATCTTAGTTGTAGTTCAAGTGGGCTAAGAACCCAGGAGAACTTGGGGAAGTAAGCTGCCAAGCAAATGTGTGCCACTTTCTATCATGGCCCTTAGTGGCAGTGGCATCTAAGGGGGCACTGAGGACAGCAGCTAAAGGTGAATAAAGAGAAAGGGGCTCCAGTTGCTCCGTAAGAAAGAAAAGGTCAGGTACAAAGGCTAGGTCTTTGAAGACGAACAGTCTAGCTTTTTGCACATTCTAAATTAATTTTAGTAAATAATCTGCCCTCTCTGCCTGTTTAAATTTTGGTCGAAGGGGCAAAGGTGAAAAGGAAGGGGTAGTAGAAATATAATTTTAAAAAACACACCTGCTTAACGAGAAAACAAGGTCCAAGGAGACTGTGCCCAAAAGGGGCGATGCAAACCAGATGCTGTATCCACCAATGACCAGGGGGATGGGGAAGGTGACTGCCCCCATCTTTTCTAAATTAAAAGGGAAGAAAAGAATCTGCAGCCTTTGACTTTCTAAGCCAGACATGAGCAGTCAGTGACCAGGTATGGGTACCATGTTTGGAATCAGTTTCTGAAACTCTCTCACTGCTTGGCTCCCAGCCCAGCTCAAAGCATGAAGTCTCTAGGGCCAAGAGCCAGCTCCCCCTGGGTCTTCAGATCTGCCCACCCGAGGATAGGGATTGGTCTGACCCCGAACAGAGCTAAGGCGGGTTGTCCACCATGTCAGAGAAAGGATGGGCAAACGAATTCCAAATTTGAGAAACGAGTTTCATGGACAGTTTCTCATGTTTTTCTCAAAATTGTTTCACTCTTCTTCACCAAATAAGCAAATGGCTCACAGGAATGGGAGCTCTCCCACTGCAGAATAAGGATATTTGTGGCTATTTAAATAGCATCCTAGTTTGCCTGTAAAACGTTAGCTTCAGAACCACTTATCGAGACCAGAGAAGTCAATTCACATGTGACCTAGATCTTACACTGTGACTGACAATTTTCATACTAGTATAATTTAAGATTAATATGAGGTCTTTGTTCCTGGCCTAGTCAAAGAATCCTCAGCTGGGAACTGTTTGAATAATGGGTTCTGGTGGGGTCTTAATCTCTCTATTAAAGTTGATGGATTTCTATTCCAATGACTCTCAGGTGAAGAAAAAAATCAAAGTGAATGCCAGATTGTAATAGTTGGCAGGTGGGTGCTGATTCCAAATGTCCTTCCAGCCTCTTTCCCAATGGGAGGGGGAGGTGTGTTTCAGACACTGTCAGACACTTAGGAGTGCTCACTTGTCACCACCATATGAAAAGGGAAGGGGGGTAAACAGTGTGAAGACCCTAAATCATCCATTAAACTTGAGGACCTAAGTTAGGCATGAGAGAGGACAGAGGGCTCACTTGGGTTTACCCATGACAGACCCTGCCTATAGGAGAGAAGCAGGTAAGGACTCTGAGTTCTAAAACAGAAATGTGGAAAATGAGGGCAAAGTTAGAAGGGATTTCGTGAGAAAGTCATGTCATTTTAAGCTCCAAGATTAACATTCTTGGGGGCAGCTAGGTGGCGCAGTGGATAGAGCTCTGGCCCTGAAGTCAGCAGGACCTGAGTTCAAATCCGGCCTCAGACCAAATGGATCCTGGGTAAATCACTTAACCCCAAATGCCAAAAAAAAAAAAAGATTAACAGTCTCCAAGACTCTGGCTCAAGTGGTATAAAAGAAGCCTTCTCTAAAACATGTCTCAACTCTGGATTAGGGCAAACACAAACGGGAACAGGGCAGTGTGATAAACCTCAGACTTCTTCAGTGGTAAGATCCTTCACCCTCAACAGTGGAGACCCTGAACTAAAAATCTTTGAAAGTAATGTTTACTCCTTGGATAAGTAGTCAGAGTATATGAACAAATAGTTCTCAAAAAAAAAAGGCTTTTAAACCAAATGAGTGTAGAAAAGACCACTCCAAATTACCACTAAGTGAAACACAAATCAAACCAATTCTGAGTTTTCACCAAAGTAAACTGGCAATGATGATAAGAGATGGGCATAGAAGGTGCTGGAGGGACTGTGGAAAGATGGATGCACTAATACTATGTGGCGGGTGTGGCTGTGAATTGGTCCAACGATTCTGGAAAGCTATTTGGAATTATGCTAAGACTTTAACTAAAATATTCATATTCTTTACTCAGCCATCCCTCTGCTAGGTTTATACCTAGCCCCTAACCCTGCCAAAGGTCAAGGACAGAAAGGTCCTTCGTGAGCTCTCATGGGTGCGTGGCGTGTGTATGTGTGTAAGTGTGTGTGTGTGAGCATTTTTTATAGTAGTAAAAAACAGGAAATGGCACATATTTTGGAATATCATTTGGAATATTATTATGCCATAAGAAATGATGACTATGAAGAAAAGCATGGGAGACTAGGAACTGATGCAGAGTGAAGCTAGCAGAACAGGGAAACAAACCTCTTTTGTTGTTAAGTCGTGTCTGACTTTTCACGACCCATTTGGCAAGGGGAGTAGTACCAGGGACCTCTTTTGTTGTCGTCCAGTCATTTCAGTCGTGTCCGACTCTGTGACACCATTTATGGTTTTCTTGGCAGAGATACCTGGCATACATGATACAATGGAAGAGTGGTTTGCTGCTTCCTTCCCCAGCTCATTTTGCAGATGAGGAAACTGAGGCAAACAGGGTGAAGTGACTTGCCCAGGATAACACAGCTAGTAAGTGTCTGAGGCTGGATTTGAACTTGGGAAGAAGAGTCTTCCCAACTCCCGGCCCACCGCTCTATTCACTGTGTCACCTAGATGCCCAGAAAAATATCTGCAACAATGTCAACAGAATAAAAAAAAAAAAGAAATTGTAATCAAATTTTATATAATGATAATGACAAAGTCTGGCCCATAAAAATGTACCCCCCTCCCTTCTTTGAAGAGGTGGGAGGCTGTGGGTGTGGGGCACACCATAGTAGGATTTAAGATTCAAATCTTGCCTCAGATACTATGAGACCTTGTGGCCAACCATTTAATCTCTCAGCCTCAGTTTTCTGATCTGTAAAATAGGGAGAAGTACATCTAACCCACAGGGTTAACTGTGAGGCTCAAATGAGACATGTAAAATTCTTTGAAAACTTTAAAGTGCTATATTAATATCAGCTATTGTCATGGGTTTTTTTTTTCTTTTATTAAAAGGTATGCCTTTCTGAGTAATGGAGAGGGGAGGGATTTATTATTAAACCAAAGTGATTTAGCAATAAAGTGCCTATTTTAAGTAATGCTATATAGCCTAACATTAAGTTTAAAATTGTTTTACTTAAGATAATTTTTCTGAATCTAACAAATATTACTAAATAACACAGTGAGGGAATGAGGACAAAACGCACAATGAAGACATCGATATGGAAAAGAACTTGCTTAGCTGTCTAAAAGTAGAATGAGCTGCCTTTGGTATATGGCAAGCGTCCCTCCATTACTAGAATTCTTGGAGCAGAGGCTGGGGGAGTTGTTCATTAGAGATACTGCAGACGGGATTCCTATTCAAAGACAGGCTGGACTAGATTTCTTCCCAAGTCCCTTCCAACTCTAAGCTGCCATAATTTTATGATTTACAAGAAGCTTTCAATCCCGGCTTTCCTATTTACAAAATGGGGCTAAGAATGTTCCAACTACCAAACCTCACGTGGCAGTTGAAAGGATCAAGTGAGAACGGAAGGGTGAAACCCTACACAAATAAATGTAAGTTGTTGTTATTGCTAATTATAACTTCTCTAATTTTCAGAGGTTCTCTGGACACTCATCCCATCATGGCTGTGGTGATATCAATGGCCTGAGGCATCTACAAAGGAAAGTGATAATCACCCAATGTAGAATCTAAAGGACAACTACCCCGGAAAGTTTTTCTTTCAACTCTAATTGGACTGGTGGCATTGCTGGGAAAAGATAATCAATACTATTACCAATTTCTTAAGATCTCCTGCATGCTCCAGTGACCGCCCTCCTACTGACTTCCAGCAAGTTGGGCAGGGGAGAGGGGGAGGGATTGGAAATTAGTGAATCAGTAATTCAAAAGAAATCAGTCTGTCGTTATATGATCTTATTGTAAGCTCTAGCCCCAAACAATAAAAACAAACTGAAATCATCTGGGTCGAAAGGGAAAAAGATAATGCAGTTTTAAAGTCTCCCATTTTTAAGATTCAAACCCAAGAGACTTTTAGCATTTTCAGTTCACCAATACAATCACCTCCTTTCCCCATTAAAATCTCCCTCAAACATACAACACCATGATGGGCTACTCAGAAATGGAGATGGTCATATGGGAAGAACTCTCTTTCCCTTGCATTCTCCAGCCTCCATAGTCCCCTATTCAGAGTGAGGACAAGAAAAAGAGAAAGTCTACGAGTAGGTTATTGGCTACTCTGGATCCTTATTTACTAGACATTAGCGGAGCTGGACAAGATTTTAATGTAGTCCAACTAGCCAATAAAGAGAACTAGTACTAACTGTGTGCGTTTTTTTTAAAGGCAAAGCAAAGAGGGCTCTGTGTGTGTGTGTGTGTGTGTGTGTGTGTGTGTGTGTGTATGTGTGTGCGCGCGCGCGTCCGAGCCTGTGATAAGCCCAGCGCTTTCTCTCACTCGGTCAGCAGCATCTGGAGAGGATTTTCTCCAGCAGACAGTAAAGAACTCGATTACACCCAGTTAACTGTGCTCTAAACTGATTATGCATGTGCCAGGCTAATGGATTACATTAGCAAGAGGAAAAATAACATGCAATCAATCTCAATTTGCTACAGACCACACCAGGGCCTGAGAGAAAAACTGGTTCGTGAACTCCCTCCACCCTGACCCAAAATGCTGGGGCTAACAAAGCCTGGTGACAGGCAGCACTCTTGAGAGTGAGAGACGTGCCACTGAATCACAGCAAAAGGGCCAGGGACTAAACCAAATTGTTGCTGGAGCATTCCTGCGAGGGACACAGTTTCTCCTGCTGTACCTCTCTGCCAGAGCCAGGGACCTGGCAAACCTCAAGGCACACAGCTGGCAAGGAATCCAAATGATTTACCTTCAGGTAGCACTCTCGGGCTTACAAAATAACTTCGCTCATAAGCTGTGTCATCAGAATGTTATCATGCCCATTTTACAGCTGAGGCAACTGATGCCCCTTCTAGGTCACACAGCTTTGGTAACCATCCAAACCAGCATGTGAACCTAGGCCTTCCTGACTCCGAATCCAGTACTCTTTCCATCAGACTGCACAGCCTTGTCTGGCCTAAGGGACAACAGTCCTTATTGCAAAGAATTCTACCTAGAGAATGCATTGTCCAGCATGGGTCTTATCAACCTCCCTAGGAGGCAAGCACACTTTGGTCTGTAGAACTCAGTCCCCATCACCTGACCTGGTTAGACACTTAAAAGTCTTTCCCGACCGGTCCCACCCTCGCTTACTAGCCTCCATTTCTCCCTTCACACGTCCTAGAGTGAAGGGAATTTGGCCTTCTTCCCCTTCCTCACAAACGATGTCTCTCCCATCCGTGCCTTTGTACCGACTGTCCCTTTGCCCCCTCAAACCCCGCCCCTGCTGTACCCCGCCTGTCCCTTAGGTTCAAAGCTCTTTGACGGGTTGAGTTGCCATCACAAAATAGATGGTTTACAGATCCCTAGACTCAGTCTTGTACGACCGAATGGACCTTTCCAAGTGGATGTCCCTGAGACATACCCAAACTCAATACATTCAAGATTGAACTCATGACCTTTCCTCTCAAACCCTCCCCCTTCCCCACTTCACTGTTTCTATTGGAGACCCCACCATCCTTCCGGCTTCCCTGGCTCATAAAACCTCATCACTATCCTCGTCTGCTCCCTCCCTTCCAGCCCCCAGGGCCAATCAGTCACCAAATCTTGACATCTCTGGTATCTGATCTCTTCCTCTCCACTCAGCGCCGCCTCCTTACATGCAGGTCCTCGTCTCCTTTGGCCGAGATGGTGACAGCAGTTACCTACTTGGTCTTCCCCGCCATGATTCTCTACCCCCACTACCATCCAACCTGCAAAGAAGCTGCTGCCAAAGTGATCTTCTTCAAGCACATATACGGCCGTGTCACTCCCCTACTCAATCATCTGCAGTGGCTTCTACGGACTCTAAGATAAAATATAAACTCCTCTGTTTGATTCTTTAAAGCTCTTCCTAACCCAGCCCCAACCTATCTTTCCAGCTTTAATGGACGCTACTCCCCCTCCCACATTCTGTGAGCCAGCCACACTGGCCTGTACTCTGCTTCTCAAATGATGCTTCATCTCCTAACTCTGGGCTTTTGCACTGTTTATCCGCCATGGCTGGAATGCAACTCTCTCTCTCAGAGTCCATCTTTTCCTTTGAAACATAACCTGACCACCATCTTCTGCATGAAGCCTTTCCTGACCCTCCCAAACTATTGTGTATTTAACTACTTTGTGTAGTTACTTTATATTTGTGCTCTGTATACTTATCGATGTATTGGTTGTCTCCACATTAGACTATAAGCTTCTTGAGAGTAGGGATTATTTTATTCTTTGCATCCCCCAAATCCGGCACAGTACTTGGTGAAGAGTAGGTGTTTTAATTCATGCTAGATGACTGATTAATTCTAAAAATACTAGCTACTGTATGATTATTATGCCGATGACATGAAACATCTAGGGAGGGATGGAGATAGAATGGCACCAGGGTCAGAGTCTAAGTAACACTCCCTCTCAAATATTCTCCCTCAGCTGTAATGTAGGGGTCCTTTGGACTTCCTCCTCCTAACTGCGACTTGAAAGCAACAGAATAAATTTGAGATGCCTGGACTAAATCGCTTTTGAATTATCTTCATTTGGTGAGAACAATTAGAAATCCTATCACAGCCTAAATACAATTAAGATATATTCCTTTGAGCTTCCACTTAAAAGTACTGTGCAGAGAGCCTCTATTCTGGGAAGGGCTGAGAATACAGCACAAATCCCTCGACTATTTCTGCTAACTTAATATATAAGGCAGGGTCCTAACGAACCCCAATTGAGACTCCTTTTATGGTCATGCCTCACTCTTAACCATACCTACAACACTCAAAGAAGGTTTCCAGTTCTGTATTTATTTCTTCCCTCCACCTCGCCCCTCAAAAAAAGGAGCTCAATGTTACATCCTATACAGAGGATTTCCAAAAATCACAAAATTGATTTGGATTAGCCATATTTCATTTCCAGGGTTACTGAAACAAGGGAGCAACCAATCTTTAGATTAAGAGATTTCATCTATTTGTACTCTCAATTTAAAACAATAATAAACAAGGAATTAAAAGTGAAATTGGCTAAAGAGCTAGCCTGAGCATAATTAAAATCTCCATATGGAATACTCACTGCCACAAAAATGCAGGACAGAGGAAAGAGTGTGGTAGAAAGGAGGAGAAATGAAAAATAAAATGGAGGAAAATGGGAAGAGAGAGAGGGTGTTTGTGTGTATGTGTGTGTGTGCGCGCGCGCACGTGTGCACAAGCACGCGCACGTGTGTGGAAAAGATATGTGAAATGAGGCTAGTTAGATTTATGGCGATTTGTACCTGATTGTTCATACTAAAGCCATTATGGAATGATTAGAGAAAAAGGTGAAGCTTTAAGTCCAGTGAAAATCAATAGAAACGTCTGGAGCAATTCTGCCACTCGAGCGAAAGGACTATTTACAGTATCCGGAGCTCCTCTTGGGTTACAGCCTACAGAGTCAAGAGAAGGAAAGGGGGGAAGAGGAAAGAAGGTGGAGGAAAGGCAAAGAAAAGAAAAGAGGCTTGGTAGCTGGAAGACAGCAAAGAAAACAATGGCAGAAAAGACCAAAAAAATGGAAGGAGTCAGTGGGGTGAAGAAGGAAGAGAAAAGGACAGAAGAGTAAAATGGAGAAAACAGAAGGGAGAAAAGAGAAGGGAGAAAAAAAACAAAGGAAGAAGAAAGCAAACAGAAGAAAGGCAAAGGAGAGAGGGAGAAAAGAGAGCAGATATGAGAGCAAGGGCTAGAAACTACACCTGCATTCATAGTAAAAAATGCACAGAGAAGAAGGCAACTTGAAGGGAGGGAGCTGAAACTCAGGAATTGGGCAACATAGTGAACACACTTTAGGTTGTAAATGAAAGGCCATTTGTAACCTCCCAAACTCCAAATGTTAGTTAAATGCCTTTTTCATAATCAAACGTACTAATGGCAAAAAAGATCAACTTTCATGGGAGGGGCTTGCTTCCATGACCCAGAGAACTGCAGGAGATGGGAAGAACAGTTGAGTTCTTCCTCTGCTACTCTACCATTTTCCATTGGGCAAAACGACCCCTCAGTTCTCCTGGGAAGCTCAGAGGTGCCCGCTCTCGAGAAAGAGAGGACAAACGAGCGCATCTTACCTTGTACAGCTTCAGGCTCGCTTCATGCCTCGAGTTGACCGTGTGCAGCCGTAGTTTCTCCAGGCTATTTGTATAATAGTCACAGGCATTGCACTTCAAATGTACAGGGTTTCCAATGGCCACGCACTTCAATCTCCACTCATTGGCCTTCCCACCCTCCTTGATGTGTGCCACCAGCTGGTACTTCTGTACGTGCTTGTCTGTCTTGCAATGGAGTTGAAAATTGGCTTTGAGCTGGGTATTGTACCGGCAAAGCTTGCACTGATAGGAGTCCCCCATCACTGCCTTCCACTCCTCCTCAGGGAGGCCACGTTCCATGTTCATGTGCAGTCCCAGCAGGTCCAGGCTGTCCGTGGTGAATTTGTTACACACCGCACACTGGAAAAGCTTCAGGGACGGGTCATTGGTCTGCGTGAAGCTCTCACCCAAGTTCATCAGTTCCTCAGACACCAGCTGCCCACCCCCCAGCCGCATGTCTAGGGGTATTTCACCGCCCACTGTATAAAGGAGAGAGAGAGAGAGAAAGAGAGAGAGAGAAAGAGAGAGAGAGAGAGAGAGAGAGAGAGAAACCAAGTCAGAAAAAGAAGCTCTTGTTTGCAACAGTCGGTTGTCTCAGGTGGAAGGGCCAAGTTCAGCCAGGGTAAAACGTTCTCTCTTTCATTCAAGTCAAGAGAGGAAGACATGAGTCACACTGGGGTCTGTTTCAGACATGAAGGGAAACCAGACTTTGTAAGGTGTGCTGCACAATACAGAAGTGTTTCAAAGCCTGGGATTCCCCTGGATGCAGCTAGCTCAACCCTGCGAGATAGTCTGATATTCCAGAAAGTATCTTTTGAAAAGCAAGGCCTCCCCATTCTCTACATACTGGGTAACAGGATCATCCATCTAGAGCTGGACAAGCCCTTAAAGGTCATTGAGTCATACTCCCCTCACTGAAAAGATGAGGAAACTGAAAGGCTGGAAGAGTTTAAGTGACATAAGAGTCACACAATTAAGTGTTTGAGGAGGGATGATTAATACAGGGTGTCCCAGAAGTCTTAGTGAGGTTTTCAGGTTTAATAGCTTGAAACTGACACACTAAGACTTTCTGGGATACCTTGTATATGACTGTTGAGTCAGGGTGAGGGGCAGCCAGGCGGCCATCTAGACTTAGTTGTTGAATGTGGGAGTACAAGCCAACATGGGCACCTCTGCAGAGTCTGACAGGCAGGAAAACGGGCAGCAGGTCAGTCAACAGCAACCTCCTCCTTTGTCAGCCTTCAAACGCTTGCCAGGGTTAGGTCCCAGGATTGACTTAAACCAAAGATTCCAAGATGGCAGACACATCTGTAAATGGGACCAGGCTCTGCATGTGGGGAATGATGGGCAGCGATGTACAAGAAAAGTAGCATTCTTCATTTTAAAGAAAGGGGCCAGAGAAAGCCTTTCCCCCTCCTTCCACCTATCCACATCAATCTCCATTGCACCTCTGACCTGGCTAAACGAAGAGTGGACCTCTACTCATTTACAATGAATTAATATAGTAGGTTCTCACTTGTGGTTACTACAAATGCTTGGGACGTGTCAACTTCTCTCCATTACCTGAAATTGTACAGCTAACCCCAGAATTTAATTTCTGCATCCTCCCCCCTGCCCCACGCCTCCTAAGACACATACGTGCACACACATGCACATACTTCAGCCATTTTGTGCTTTTCTCCCCTCTAATATTTCAACTACACTTTTCCTTCAGTTGGTCTGGATTTTGTTGTTATTTGTGTCCGATCTGTCTCCTAGCTGGTAACCAGTCCGAGAGAGATGCTATCATTGAACGTTTTTAATATGTGGCCTATGAATGTTCCACTGGGAAGCATCATGATAGTGAAAGCATTTCTATGGACTCTTTTCAACATCATGACTGTGTTTCTGAAGGCTAAACAGAATCTAAAAATCCACCTAAATCTCTTGTCTACACACATTTCAGAAGACTTTAGAAGCTCACTTTTGGCATCTCTTGTGTGAGGTATGGTTACTCTCATCAGGGAAATGGCATTCTTTTTAGGACTAGAGAGCAAAGAATGGGGGGGAGGGAAGACCCTCTACTCTCTCACCCTTCAATGTATAACAGGTCACCTGAACAGAGATTACCACCCACAAAAATGCATACAACATCCAGGCTAAAAAAAAAAAAAGATTCTGCCTGGGGAGAGCATAAAACAAGAAACAAATAAATATCTGTTTCCTTCCCATCCATGGCCAGCAGCATCCAATCTCATCTTTTTTTTTTTTTTCAAACAACCTCAGTATTACTCTAAAAGGGATTTAAGCCCTCAGATGCCGGATGTTTAATTAAAAAGCTAAGTCCAGTTGTCAACCAAGAAGCTATCAATCTCTTTCCCACTCCCCAAGTTCTTGACCTAAAATGAAAGTCAACGAGAAAAAAAAAAAGCCAGAGAGAAATGGATTTGAAACTATGAGTTCAGAAAACAGCATTGACCTAAATGGACTTCAGGTCCTAAATCTCGAGGAACAGATGTGAGTGTCTGATACAGGCAAATCAGTGGGAGTCCAATGTTGCCAAAGAGAAATCTTACTTTAACACAACTAATTTATACCATGTTCCCCAATGACAGCGACCAGCACATGTCACAATTCACATAAAAGAAAGTGGATCCCTATTCCAAAGTCAACTGTTTCCAGTCTTGCAGTCATTAGGAATCATATCTACCAATCAAAAAACATTTATTAAGCACCTACTGTGTACCAGGCACTGTGCTAAACACTGCAGACAAAAAAAAAAAGGCAAAAGACATTTCCTGTTCTCAAGGAACTCCCAAAGATTCCGAAGCATTGCTTTAATATGTATTCCCTTCACACCATTACTTTAAAAGACAAATGGCCTTGAGTTAAAGGTTGGAAAAAACTACAAGTATGTGTCAAGCCCAATTCTTCCCTTTCTATAGAATTTCATCTAAACTTTCCTGCTACTATGGGACTAAAGATTCCATTCTTAACCATTTTCAAGAAAGGATATACCACCACCACCCTGGAACGGAATGAATTCCTTTGTTTAGCAACATTTAAGTTAACGCTATTTCAAAAGAACGGCTAAAATAATAAACCTTAAGCACTGGGGTAAATTCTACAATAAATAAAAATAGAAAAGATTTCTTTTTCTAACAAAATCCAATAACCTGTAATATCTAAAGACTGCTTCCAGATTAAGAATTACCATAGGCCAAGCAAAGACAAAGTGGGAAATTATAGCTATTTTTACTTATATAGATTTGCTTCCTATTACCGAGGTCTGTTTGAGCTAAACTGTAAGTCCTCTCTTTGAATGAGAGACTTGCTTTCTCAATGCTCCATACAATCCAAGCTCAGTAAAGGCAATGTCTTGTCCCCACGCCCACCTAGGGCTGCCATTTGAAATGTCATAGTCATACTATTCCACCTAGGTAAAATAACTCCCAAGATGAGGAAGAGCTAGGAAGTGGCCTGCCCCTCAGTCCGCCACGCCAATCACAGTGCTAGGAACGCAGAAGTTATTCTTGCCTGAACTAGATAGAGATAATGTTCCTGCAACAATACGAAGAAGTCTGTTCTTTTTGGAAACAAAATGGAGACAGAGATTATTTGTATGTTAGATTAGAAGATTACCTGTTGTCATTACAGGTCATGAAAATAGTCTGCTTTGATATTATGCCTTTCTAATCTCTCTCTCTAGTTTCAGTTAGATCCATTAATCACGTCATATTAGGTAGGGTGAGATGAGGCCTGACTGGGTTATCTACTCTAACCTTCTGCTTCCAGTCAGAATGGCATTTGGCCAAAGACAAGGAGGTGATGTGTCACACCCTGGTCATCATTTTCTCTTTGTTTCATCTCTCGCCTCTTAGACGGGTGTTACGCCCTCTTCCACACTGGTGGTTTTCCTCATCTGGCTCCCTATTTCTGGAATGCCCTACTCCCTTCAATCTGACTCTCTACCTAACTCTAACACTACTTCCTCCACAAAGCCTTCTTTGATCTTCCTTCTGCCTTGCAACTGCTAACTTCTCCTTCTCAGAATTTACATAGAACATTGGTGACTCTCCAATTCATTTATGCAATATTATGAGTTATAGCTTTATAAAATTAGACTGTAAGCTCCAAATGGCCAAGGGATTGTGTCTTCTCTAAACATGGTATCTCCTCCTGCACCTGGCAGAGATTTATATATAGTGTTTAGAAAATGTTTGAATGAATGCATCTTAAATCCACAATTAAATTATAAGTCCCTAGAAAATGTGGTCTTTACTACCTTCCTTTTTTTTTGGGGGGGGGAAGGGTACCTCAAGTAGGGATTAGTAGAGTGACAGACACACAGATATACAAGAAGTCTATTTTTTCACCTTATTTCCAGTTCTGCCAGAAATTTCTGTTAATTAAAATCTCTATAGGTCCAACTGAAGCCCATTCCCCTTCCTATATTCACAGAACAAAGAAGACCACCTCATTACTACCTAGACAGCTTTCTTTCATTTCCTTGAAGAGCTATCCCTGGCTTCCAGTTCTTGGGATAAAGTCATTACTATTCCTTCCAGCTGTCTCTGCAAAACTGTCGCAACAATAATGCCGATGGCAATGGTCATGGTTTGATCATTTTGAGAGACAATAAAAATATATGTTTACATAGTTAAGCAATTTAAATTAAAATATTTTACCATCCATTGGAACTTAAGAGTTATTTAAAATGTTCGAAGCTAGAAAACATTACAAATTTAAACACACACCAGGAAGTAGACAAACTGAAAGTTATAACAACAATTCATCAAGATCAATGAGTATTAAAGGAACACGTATCAACACTTGAGAATTACTGGATTTATTTCTTCTGGCATGAAACTACACCACAGGACAAAGGCATTTAGATTTAGTTACCACCCCTCTATCAGGAATGGGCCACATGGCTTAAGATATCCCATCCCTAACCTCAAGGGGTTTTAAGTCATCATAGAAGGTATAGAGAATGAGAATAAGTCAGAGACCAAACATCCAGAGATATAGGTAGAAAGACAAAGGGAAAAGTTTAGCTTTAAAAACTGGTCCAGTGAAATAATTTGGTTTGAAAAAATGGAATCTCAAAAGAAGTGGTGTTGGCTTCTAAATAACACAGTTTGGGGCATCCAAGATACAAGAAGTACCTATAAGTTCTAGATAGGATAACCACAAAGAGAAAGGCTCAGGAGGTAGTCCCTGAGTACGTGGCATTCTGATTCAACATGCCTCACTATTCTAAAATTACCTCCAATCTAAAAATGGCCAAAAAGTCCCTATCAACTTAGCTTCCAATTATTACAGCTTAACCCGATTTTTCTACAAGCCAGGCCTCATTTCTACAGTCGAAATTTTCAAGGTGATGAAAACCCATTTACCAAGAGTTTAACCAAGGCTGGCCTAATCTACTTTGTCCTATTAATTTGAACCAAGCAGTCACCCATCAATGTTTTAACACTGAATTGTTAACTGACCTACCATCATTCCTTTTGACCAAAGAGATGGTATTTAGCAACTCAATTCCAAATTCACTTCTGAGTATTCCATACTCACCTTATCGTCTTTTTTTTTTTTTAAGGAGGGCTTGAGAATCTGATTGGCAATACTGAAAATTCTTGGGAATCCCTAACAACGCTGGCACAATGCCCAATGGATTGCACCCACTTCAAGCCCTCAATAGATGCAACGCTTCCTCTTTCTTACATAACGGCTAACTAGAATTTCCAGTCATTCCCAATAAGCGCTAAGGAGGTGAGAGGAAGACCACAAATATGGTGGACGTCTCAGAGACAGAGATTTGGAGATAGAGTGAGCACGGGGAGAGTAACAGAACGCCCCAGACCAAGAACCAGCATGCGAAAGGGTGGATCGTGATAACCGAGATCTGAAGGGAACACCTCTACTGTGAGCTCAGTCCATGCAGAGTATTTAGTAAGAGCTACCCAAATGTTTATTTGATGAATAAATGGAATGAATGAATTCTTGTGTGCCTATGTATAGGATACAAGGGTGTTTTGGGAAACACCTGGTGAAATCTAGGGGTGCTCAACTGTCCACAGAGAAACTTGAAAGGGGGGGGAAATCCACAGGATAACCTCATCTCCCCCTCTCCCGACCAACCCACAGAGTGAAAAATTAAAACTGAGCCTCACCTAGAGCCGGAGTCGCCATTGCCGTCATGGGGCTGGTGGGATCCAGCTGGAACCCGCTCATCATGAACTGGGCGTCGGAGGCCGGGCTGTCCATCTTGAGGTTGGGCAGAGTCATGTTCTGGGCCAGGTAGTACTGGTAGAGCTCCGCCTCGGCTGGGGAGGGCAGGGCCCCCAGGCCCAGGTGCCGGTTGTGCTGCATCTGGGACATGTTCTGCTGAAGTAGCATCATGTTGTGCATGTGCTTCTCACTGGTCATGTGAATGCGGAGGTTCCTGGCCACATTTGTCTCATAGTCGCACACCTCACACCGCCAGGTGGGCTTGGTTTTTGGTTTGGTGGGGGAGGGGGCCCCGCAGGAACTGCCAATGTTGGCCGCGGCAGCTGCAGCTGCTGCTGCCGCGGCCGCTGCCCCGGCAGTGTGACTGAAGACTTGCTCTCCCCCTCCGTTCTGCAGGTTCTGCATGTTGTTCAGATGCTTGTCAGACTGCATATGAATACTGAGGTTGCCTTTGGTAGTAGTAGAGTAGTTACAGACCTCACAGCGGAAAGGCTTGTAACCACACGTGTAGCTCTCGCCTCGCGCCAAAGCGCGGGTGAGGCTGCCCACTTTTGCAGTAGACACACGAGCCGCCAGGCTCGGGATGCTTCTCCTTCATGTGCGCCTCAAGCGTCTGCTGGTACTTATAGTGCCAATTGCACTTGGGACACTTGAGCGTCTTACACGAGTTACGAGAATGCATCATGGTCATGTGCCCCCCCAGGGAGCGCGAAGAGCCCAGGACCGTGTCACACTTGGGGCACTCCACGCCGCTCCCCGAGGGGCACTCCCCCACCCCAAGCTCACAGAGGGCTCCAGCGTGCTGGTGATGGGAGAGGTAGCCCCCATCTTCCCCCTCTGCGCTTTCATTTGGTTCTGGTGCTGTGGCGTTGTCCTTACTGGCACTTTCATCAATAAAGTCCAACCTCCTGCTGCCCTCTGCCACATTGGTCCTGACACCCTCACTGTTAAAGCTTAACCGATTCCTCCTGTTTGCACCATCAAAGACAGCAAAGGAAGAAGCAGAATTAGAACTAGTAGAAGCTGCGCTCCTCGACAAAGCCTGGAGCATGTTAGGCATTAAGGGAGAGTTAGAAATGCTTTGGTTTGAGAGAGCAAGGTCATTTTTGTTGCTGCCGCCTGCCATGGCCCCAGACTCCTCCTGGGGCCTGTCCTCCAACTCATCCTCCAACTCACTTGGAAAGAGTCCTTTGCAACCCTCATCTTCCTCCTCCTCTTCCTCCTCCTCTTCCTCCTCTTCCTCCTCCTCCTCTGCATCTTCCTCCTCCTCTTCTTCCTCCTCCTCCGCATCCTCGGCTGGCTCTGCCTTCTCTGAGAGGCTATCCCGGTCACCCGCTTCTCGCTTCTCACCCTCTGCTACCCCAGGGTCCTTGCCCTCTGAGGATTTGGTAGGACTGGAAGCCAGGGGGCCCAGGGGGACTGAGGTAATTGGGGTCTTCAGAGCCGAGCTGGTCAGCCCGCCAAGGTTCAAGAGGGTCCCAGGCGTCAAGAGGCCTGACTGGGGCTGCTCTGCGGCACTGGCCGAAGCGCCCTGGAGCGCCTCTTCCCCTTCCATCCGAATGCCGCTAAATTTACCATAAAAGCTGTGCCCGGGGCCTATGAGGTTAGCTGCAGAAACTAAAGGGTGTTGAAAGTTTTTGGTTTTTGGTTCCAGAAAACTTACAAGGGGTTCCTTGTCTTTGCCTATTCCTTGGATGATAGCAGAAATGTTCTTATTACTAAGAATTTTCCGCTCTTCTTCACTCAGGGTCATTCGATGGTCATGCACTGCATGGGTCACAAACGAGCGGACGTACCCAAAGGAGAGCTTACACAAGAAACACATGAGAATGGGCTTCCTCTTCCCGTAGAGCACAAAGCCGTCAAACTTGGACAGGTCCACATTGTTGGGGACATCTTTGGATACACAGGAGCTTTTGGCAGAACCATCGCTGTTCAGGTAATCCTTGCTGCTTTTATGTCGCACATCAAAAACGCGGAAGCTGTGCAGGACGGGGCTGACGCCCGTCAGGGCTGAGGTATTGGGAAAGGACTGGTCTGAGCCCTCAAACCATTTCCCGAAGGATGAGGCTATGTGGAAAGTATTGATGATCTGTGGGTAGACTGGTGCAGCAGAAGAGGGCTCCCCCTGTTTACCCCCAGCACTGGGGAGAGAGTTCAGAAAGAGCGACGGGAGGGCCCCACTGCCGCTGCTACAGGCTCCCCCACTTTGGATCAACTGGCTGACGCTTTCGACAATGTACGCCGAGCCATCTGGCTGGTAGACTATCTCTCCAGCTAGATTCTCCACATCACTCTCCTCATCCCCCTCCTCACTGGTGTCACTCCCACTTTCCTCCCTCAGGGGAAGAGGGGGGCGGGCGCTGGGGCAGTGGTGCTCCATATAGGTCTGTAAACTGGCAAAGGAGGCCGAGCATTCGTTGCAGCTGACCTCTTTGCTAGCAGGCTCAGTGGTGGGGCCAGCCGAGTTGGTGCTGTCCGGGATGCGCTCATTGAAGGGGGCCCTCAGGCTGTCTAGGGGCCCGTGGTTTTCTGTGGTGGACTGCTCCATACTACTGGGTTTGTCAGGGAGGTGGGTGCTGTTGAGTTCAGTCCATTGCTGGTGCTGAGGGATACTACACCCATTGTCCTTCCCAGGGATGACAGGCGAGTCACAGCCTTCCATGGTAAGGCCTGCATGGAGCTTTCATTGCACCCAGTACGGTTCGGACCTGAAGAGAGCAGAGAGGGGGAGAGGAGAGAGAGAGAGAGAGAGAGAAAGAGAGAAAGAGAGAAAAGGAAGAGAGAAAGGAAAGATGTTAGGAGGGCAAAGGCTAAGATTCCACACAGAGCACTTTTCAGATGTTTCTAACTATACCCAACATAGTAGCTAAATCTCACAGAATAGGCCTAGAGAGGAGCAAAGACCCTAATAAACCCCAAAATCACACTTTATGCTATCAAAACGTCCAAAGGCGATAACAACAGGGCATGTTCCTACAGGTGTCTGTGCTGTGCTAAGTAGTCAAGGGTCCAAGGAAAGAAATAGGAGAAATGGCTGTTTCTGCTTCCATTATCCCCCTGAAGATCGCCCCCAGCAGAATTTCAATTCTTTAGGGACATACTGTTAGTGGAAGAGCAAGACGATAAGCACCAGTAGAGGAAAAAAGCCTTCATTCATTCAAACCCCAAATCAAAAGCTAATAGGAATAAAAGCTTACTCATCACTAGTAGAAAAACAAAATATTTCAATCTAAGAAGTCAAGAATGAGATTTTGTATATATGGATGATCCCCAGAAATCAAAGTACTTTTGGCTAACTGATTTAAAATCATTTTTAATAGCCGCCTTTCTACACTGAGGTCTTAACAGGAAGTGTCTAGGTACGGGGCACCTTACTTAAGTGCTCTTTACTTACTTAACTCTGTATGGCAGCTACTACCCCTAATTAAACCCAACAACTTTGTGATCCCTCATTTTCTCAAAACCAAAGTAGCCCTATTTACCACATGGGAAAACCGAGGCACCAAACTGAACCACTTGCTAGATGACATTCTGCCCTTTCCTGTCTGTCCATCCCTGCTGTCTTCACTAGACCACATCTTCTTCTAAAATGTACATAGCTGAAGTATGAAAACATTTGAGAAGGATGAAACGCTCACATTTCTGGAGAGAACATGCTACCATCTAATCGGTGACACCTCTTTCCCGACTGCATACACCCCTGTACTCTTAGTGCAAAACTTTGATTCAGACATCCTGGTATCATTTGGCTGCTTTTCTGTCGAGGGTCTTTGCTGACCCAGAGACACCAGCTGTTCTTAGCAATCATTCCATTCCACACCTGCCTCTCAGTTCTCATACAATAACCAGGCAGCTGTCCTTCAACCCTGAGGCTTTTCCATTTCAGAGAGGAAAGTATCATTGAAGTGAATTTGCCCTTTGAGAGACATGCATCCCTAGGGAGAGCAGCATCAGATTTCCCTCCACCACTCCATCTCTCCTATGGCATCCGCATCACAGGTGCATTTATTCAGTAGCCACAGTGCTCCTGTGAGCAACTGCTCCCCAGCACAGCCCTGATCTCTTTAACTGAGAGATCCCAAGTCACTGCTTCCACAACCCTCTTGCCCCCTCCTTCCCTGGGTACAAGTGGCTGCCACTCTATCTGTGCATATCATCTCCTTCATCCCCAGAAAAGGAAAGTTGTAGGGAGAAGTTTGGAGTGATTTGTGGGGATTCTGGGTTGGTTGCAGTGTTTGGTTTTTTGGGGGTGACGTGTGTGTGTGTGTGTGTGTGTGTGTGTGTGTGTGTGTGGTTTTATTCCCCCTTCATCTTTTCAAATCCTGGTCCTAGCCTATAGAGTAAGCCAACAGCTCCCCCCTCGGGAAAGGATTGGGAACACAGTTTAAGAGTCTCTAGGGAAAGAACTTTTTTTGCAATAAAGTGACAGGCTTTATTTATCTAAACACACACATGCACAGAGACGCCACGCCTATTTATTGGAGCTCTCTCCAGCTCCAAGACAACAAAAGATCATTGTCTCTTGTAAAAAGACATCACACTGTTCCTGGTTTGAAACAGGGAGACTCTCTGATCAAAAGAGAAATCCAAAGGAAGGAAGAATTCCTTCCAACAAGGCTCAACTCCGATGCAAGTGAGGAGCTGGAGGGCAACTCCCTTTCAGCACGGATGTGATTGGCTGAAAGGCCCTTGACTGACAGCTCGGGCCCAAAAGGTTGGTAGGGCTGAAGGGGCGGGAGGGTTAACAGCCTGATTGTAAAATCAATGTCATAAATGCTTGGTAAGTTACAGGAACATGCGGGAAAGGGAGGCCAGGATTGATAAAGGAGTGCGGCTTTGATGCTGCACTGGGGACTTGTTTATTGACAGGAAAGCCAATCTCCTCTCCAGGCCAGGCCAGGCCAGAGAAACCTGCAAGCGTTTACCAATTAATTGGTGGGCTTTTCTTCCTCTGCTTCTCTTTTCCTCCCCCTCCACAAACTGTCCGGTGAAACAGCTATGACTTTAAAAATATTGCCCTGGCAGGAGAACCCCTCCTAACCTCTTATCATTTCCTCCCCAGTCTCTCCTTCCCCACTTCTCTCTGACCTCTGCTTCCTCTTTTTAGGACAGCTCTGTGGGCACCCAGGAACACAGCCTCCTCCCAAGGCTGTCAAGTTTTTATCTGGGTACACCCAGCACCTAACATGGCACGCAGAGACACCAGGAGACATCACATGGGTTGGCTGAATTGCATTCAGAACAGAAGAAAACAAGTTCTCCCAACTTGGATTAGCTACATGATAGAGTTCCAATAGTCACCAACCCTAAAATAGTGTGATGCTGTGATATCCAAAGATCCCAGCATCATTGGGAGCCACTGTTCCAAGTTAGCTCAAAACTTGGGAGGGAATGCTCTCATGTGGGGTTCCAAACTATCCCATGTAGAGGAAATTAGTTATCTAAGTTAACAGGCAGATGGCATTATTTCAATACTATTTGTATTCTGGGGGGGGGGAGGAAGAGAAGTGTGAGAAGCATAGGGTATGGCGAAGGGAGACAGAGAACCCCAAATTATGAAGACATCTATCTTTTGATGCCAACACCTTTGCGCCTCTAACACTTTCCCATCCTCTCCCTCATCCCACAGGCTCTCTCGGCTCTCCTGCTCTGTTTATCAGCCAGTCAATAAGAAAAAGGTAGTTCTTACTTAAGGAGGCAGGAGTCAACTCGTCAGGTCGATCAGCACTCTGTCTGTAAACACGGTTTCCCGTAAAATCAATGATCTTCAGTTACAGAGAGCAGTCTGAGAACCCAAAGAGTCCCTGGGCTTCCTCGGGCTACACAGTCAGCTGGAGTTAACAGCCCCTTTTGTTCAACCACTCCTCCAGCCTCTTAGCCCCTTTTCTCTCCTTTCATTACCTTTCGTTTCACTCCCTCATTACAATCTCTCAGCCTGCTTCTTTTCCTTTAAATTTCCTTTAAAGCCTCCCCTACTCCAGAACACTTGTCAAAACCAAAAAAGACTCGAGTGTGGTTAAGTTAGAGTCCTATAGAGTGTGCATCACTTACACAGGACCAGGCCCTTAGCTCCATATACCTCCAAAGGCACCACCTTCAGAAAAGTCCTCAAGAACAGCAAACAGATCTGAATTCCCAAAACGGGACCTATCACCTTTACCCAGAAAGAGCCTCCCTGTGACAGAGGCTCCCTGTGACATTTCTAGTTTCCTTGGCTACTACCTGCTTGCTCAACGCATTTTTAGCAAATATCAGTCTTTACTTTTCACTCATCTGATATCTGGGACCACAAGCCAACATCTACCACCTGGTTTACTCCCCAATACATTCAATCAATACTCCTAAAATTGATAGAGTTAGGAAGTCTTCCTTGCTCAGCAAATGACAAAACCCAAAGAGACAGGGGCTTTTGAAATGCAACATTAAGCATTTCAGATAGCTTTCTTTAAAAGTGTTCAAATACAGAAGCATGAGGAAATGGAGAGTGGTGGGAGGGAAAGGGATTGGGGGGCTGGGACGGGGGGAGTCGTTAGTCCTGCTGTTGCCCAGGCATCCTGAGAATTAAATATGAACAGTCGTAGTGTGTAATTTTAAATTGTTAATTAGCGCAGGGTTAATTAGGCGGTCCTTTCACAAGAGGCTGTTTGGCAGTAAACCAAGACTGGAAGCAATGGAAGGAAAGAAAAACAAAGGGAAGAGAGGTAGTGAGAAACAGTCCCCTCTGTTAATAACCCATGTGGCATCATGAAGGGAAAAAAAAAAGAGCTAAACAGGCAGGAAAGAAATTTCTCAACTGTTTCTCAAGGAAAGAACCCCTGAGGTTCCATCTATTAAAAATGCTCCTCTCCTGGGAAGCCTCCCTCTTCGCGTCTGGTCCCGGAAGCAGAAAATGGGCTCAATAGCACCTAGTGGATAGTTTGCTACATTGCAAGGTTACACAGAGTTGGCAGTCTCTAATATACACACGTGCAGTCAAGTAACCAGAAATGCCAATCCCTGAGAAAGGGAAATGCTAGCCATTCCACAGTTCCCAATTTTGTATCCTAGAAGCGGGTGTCTGAGCTTAGGAGAGGGAAAGTGAGCATGTGTGCAGGTGGGAGAAGAACCTGGGATGGGGAGGACATGATGACAACAGGGTGTCCTCCCTCAGCCAAGAGGAAGGCGCTCCCAAGAATGACACTAAAGAAGACACCCGAGTTTGCGAAAAGGGGAAAGCTACACTCTCTGCTATGTTCTCCTAATGCAGGTTCCAACCGGTCAGCCTTCTCCACTATTTAAGCTGTTGATGCGGGGGCTAGAGAGGGGGTCTGTAAATCAAGATGACCCCAGTCCAGATCCCATCACCCCGAGCAAGTCACTTAATTGATCAGTGCCCCCCCACACACACCCAGACAACAGTTTAACACTAAAAGTTGCAGAGTAGAATTGCTTCCTTCACCGATGGAATCACAACAAACTATTGCTCAAGATGAGCTCATTTCGCTGGGTAAGAATATGCCACCATGGTGCATGCTTTTGAAATGGAGAGGTGTTAGGTAGATAGAGCATTTATTAAGTACTCAGCATGGGCCAGGCACTATGCTAAGCACTGGGGATACAAGGAAGCAATCCTTATATTCAAACAGAGGAAGGCATCATATGAAAGGGGGATAAAAGCAGGGGATAACCCACAGAGGTAAGGGTGGTAGCCTAGGGAGGCATA